GAGAAAAAGGCTATTTCCAAACGATTTAAATTTGAGGAACCTTTGCTACAAGAAATTCCGGGAGAATTTATCTACTGAGTATTTCCCTTTAGAACTTTAGGATTTCTACATTGGAAATGTTAATATTATTTATGGACCTCTGGCCAAATGGTACATGCACTCAAAGTGGATAACCAGGTATCACTGACACAAACAAAAATAACTTTGTCAAACTTGTGGAGTTAGGTGAATCAAGCCAGATTTATAAAATTGCCAACCAGGAGGTTTAACAGGTAAAGTTATTTGTTTCAATATTATTTTTAAGAAGGGAGATGTTTCCACCTTTTGTTTGTTTGTTTGTTTCCACCTTTTAATTCTACATCCTCTTTCTCCAGAATGAGAATTTGTATGCAAAGATATTTGTATTTGCTTTCTTTAAAAATACAAGTAAAAGTGCCAAAATTACATTTCTTTGAATCTCTTTCTTATTATTCATATGTGTATCTATCTGCATGTATGTATGTTGATATCTTTACTAAAATTGATACTTTTTCACTTTGGATTTTTTTTTTTTTTGCAAGATTTTAATTTAAATAGATACCTTTAAAAATTTTGAAACCTAGAATAACATCCATTACAGTTTGATGTCTTATTTTTGTATTTTATTACTGCTTTCATATTGACTTGATTTGGCTTCTGTTGTCTTTGTTTTTGCCTAATGCTTGTAACCTATCAGTGAAAAATCCTGGCTAATTTTTTTCTCTTCAGTGTTGCTAATAAGAGAGGTGGTGATTTTTTACATCTGGAAATGATTCTAGTTTTCAGGGTCATGATTAAGTAATCCTATACTATTAAACAAGTGTCAGCCTTTCAGCCGAGTCCCTCATCACACAGTACTCATCTCCACTCTGTCACAGCTACATCCTCACCAACCCATTGCCCCTCCCCCATACTTGTCACTTAACTTTGGTCACTTGCAGGTGTCAGTTTAATCTGATCAACATTATGGTTGCTTTGGTCAGTGAAAAGATGCTATTTTGTTTTTGCCCCAAAGTTAATAAAAATGAGAAAACTTCCAGAAGATGCTTTATGAATTTTGTGTGGTTGGTAACAAACTGGTTTCCAACATAGGATTTAGTCTGAACACACTTCACTTTTTACGTTGTGTTGTTACTCTGCACAGTTTTTCTTACTACACCTTAAGGACCAAGAGATCATGGATTTATCCCATAAACCTTTCTGAGCAGCTGCACGTGCCAGACACTGTGCCGTGTGTTGGGGGTATAATAAATTGGTGATCTCGTTGCTTTTGAGGAATATATATTCTAGCTGGAGAGACAGTAAGTGTCACGGCGTATTAGGGAGTGGTGAAAGCTATGATGGTTAGGTATCACCTCCACTCTGCAAGTGAGAAAATTAAGGCGCAGAGAAAATCTTTTTCTTCCTAATCTTTCTAAGAACTGTTTGGTGGTTCTTAACTCTGGAGCCTGAAGGCCTTTTCAAAACCATTTGTGAACCCTTTCCTTTTAATTAAGCTATATTTTTTAGATCTCTGGGTCTGAAAAAAAAAATACACATGACAAAAAGTTATGAGTTCAGTACCATTTTAAATGTGAATTTGATTCTTTATTGTCACATACCTCGTCACCTACCTTAGAAGCATATCAGACATTTGGCCTAATGACAATGTTTGGTATGCGTGGACTTGAGAACATATCCAGCCTCTATGAGAGGGCTTCAGCAAGTTCATGGAAAGATACATATTATCTTTTAATTGTTTTTCGATGAACTATTTCAAGTACCATCGCATTCAGCCCCCACCCATGCTCATAGGGTTTATGGCCTAAAAGTTGGGAACACATTGGGTTGGGGTTAAGTTTCTGTACCTAGGTTACATCCCCTGAAACCAGTGACCACGTTAATTAAATCTTGATATCAGTGCTCTTCCATAACTAATGAGAAAGTTATTTTGAACAGAATAATAAAAAATGTGGCCAGTTTTAAACAGGAATGGAATAGAAGAAGCTATATAGTTCTTCACTTGTGTTTTTTTCTAAACAGCTTTGAGCTATATTCACTTGTGTGTGTGTGTGTGTGTGTGTGTGCCGTTTTCGTGACCAGTAAGGGGATCGCAACCCTTGGTGTGGCGTCACCCGCACCGCGCTCAGCCAGTGAGTGCACTGGCCATTCCTATACAGCATCCGAACCCGCGGCGGTACAGCACTGCACTCTCCCGAGTGCGCCACGGGGCCGGCCCTTCACTTGTGTTTTTTAAAGTATGTTCCACAACTAATTCTCCATGATTTTTTTGGTTCTGAAGAAAATTTGCATCTAAAGACCCCCGCCCCCCCCCAAAAAAAGAATGCTCACTTTCCTCAACCAAACTTTGCATTCTTTCCTTCTTACTGGTGCATTATTCTCCTGCAGAGGATGCTGGACACAGAGTCAAGGGAGATCACTCACCACCTTTGAGATCTGATGCCTGCCCTGCTGGGTTTCAGAATCATTTGGGACCCATACCCACCCCCCCACCCACCCCCCTTTTTTTTTTTGGCTCATTTATCCACTTTGGACTGATTTCTGTTTTATGCCTGTTCCCCCATTGCATCTTGGCAGTAGATAACTTGTTTGATTTCACAGATGAGACTTTGGACTTTTGAGCTGAAACAAGTTAAGACTTTGTGGATGGAATAAATTGTATTTACCTGTGAGAAGGACATGAACTTTGAGGGCCAGGGGCTGACTGCTATATGTTAAATGTGTCCAACTAAAGTTCATGTATTGGAAACTTGACCCCTATTGTAACTGTGTTAAGAGAGTGGGAAATCCAACTATGGTAATTGAAAGTTGGGGTCTTTAAGAGGTGATTAGATTGTGAGGACCATGACCTTGTGCATAGATTGAACCATTCATGGAGTGATGGGTGAGGTTCTGATGGCTTTAAAAGGACAGCAAGTGAGGTTAGCTCTGTCTTGCTTAGCCCATTCTCGTCATGTGATAACCTGCTTCTCTGTAAAGCCACCACCAAGAAAACCCTCACCACATGTACCTCCTGCACCTGTACTTCCCAGCCTCTAAACTTTAAGAAATAAATTTTCTTTATAAATTACCCAGTTTCAGATTTTCTGTTGTAAGTTTGAGAAATGAACTAATTCACTCCCACCCCCCACAGCAAATCCACCTCCCCACTATTTTATCTTCTGCCATAAAGCTCGCTAGCCTTTTCAAAGAGTCGTCTTCTAGCCTGATTCATTTCCTTCTGGTAAGCAACTCACCAGAATTCCTGCTCTGGGAGTACGTGTGTTAAAAAGGCTCGGTAAGTGCAAAGCCAGAAGAAAGTAGAGAGTTTGGTATGGCAGCTTGATGTGCAAAAAGCGTGATCTAACCGAGAAGCCCTGGCATATCCTTAAGAAATGCTCAGTAGTCAGCAGGTGAATACTTGTCCTCTAAAGAAAAAAACATGGTGGTGTATTTCCCAGTTGTTTCAAAAATAGAATTATTTTAACCTAAGACATGGCTGAGATCTAGGACTAGATTCTAATTGGAGAGACACACAAATAAACCAGTGATAGCAGAACATGCCCTTAGTGGTTTGACTGAACTCCAGTAGTATTTGTGAAGGTATATAAAAGGTATAGTTATAAAAGCAAATTTTGCAAACTAACCACAAACTAGGCCACTCTGTAGGACCACCTTTTTGGAAGATTCACGATTCAAAACAAAGTAGGAAGGACGAGATGGAGTAGACGCACTTCTCCCTATATTCACACTAAACACAGCTGAAAACCCTGGGACATACATGAAATAAACTTGGGACTATTCTGAAAGATGAAGGCCGACCGACTAGGAACCTCAGGACCCAAGAAATGACATAGCATTGAGTTGCCTGGATTTTCTTTTACCTCACATATCCCAGATTGCTGAAG